GCAACCTGCTGGGCTCCCGTCTGGAGCGTGAGTGAGTGTCTGCATACCCCCTGCCAAACTGAGCTGAACCCCCACCCCGAGTGACACAGGGACCCCCCCAAGCAAAGTCCCCAAGGCGCTAGCATCTTCCACTGGGCAGCAGCAGGTTTGCCCTTCTCTGAGAGCCAGCACCTAACTGGGGCTGAGTCCTCCAAACTCATGACACACATGGGCTGGCTAAGACTGGACCCCAGCCCAGACAAACCCCAGGCTTGGTTTTGGGGAGCATCACAGCATGAGCTACTGGGTCCCAGCTGGTGGGGATGGGGGCAGGCAGGGGGTCCGGGGCGCTTTCTGCTGTGACCAGGGAGGGGTTGGACTTGGGGGGGGGACAGCCTGGCTGTGCCAGGGCAGTGGGTCGGGGGATGCCTGAGGGGACACTGGGGGGTCTGGGTGGTGACAGCGGCTCTGTCCCCTCCACAGGGAGCCGAGCCCCCCGGTGCGGGGCAGGGCAGCCCCGGGGCTCACACCCATGAAGAGGGGGAGGTCAGCATCTCTGCCCCGGGACAGGCCAGAGCTGGACCTCAGTAAGTGGGACCCCATTGACATGGGGATGGAGGGGACAGTGGGGGCGTGCTCCTCCCTGCACGCTGTTTCCCCTTGCCCAGATAGAGCGGGGTGCTGGTGGGGGCTGTGGGACCATGGGGACAGAGCAGGTCCTGGTGGCCCCGTGGGACCCAGCACCGCTCAATCCAGATCCTGCAGATCTGGGGCTCAGACCCACTGGATCCCACCCCACTTCTCTCTCCTGTGCTGCAGCCTCCGAGTCAGACCCCTCGCCTGCCAGGCCCCAGGGCACCCTGTCCCCACAGAAGAGCCCTGGGAGCCCCCCAGGTGCGATGACATTTCGGGGACAGTACACAGGTGGGTGCCAGTGGCGGTCGGTGCTGGGGCCGAAGGGCAGCCCCCCCACACACGTTGGGGTCCCCGGCTGCGCTCACGCTGGGTTTTGGCAGGGACACGGTACCAGGCAGGGAGGCTGCGCAATGCCCCGGCACCCCAAGAGGAGTCGGGCACCCTGGGGTGCCCCCGGTGCCACGGGAGCAGGACGCCGTCAGGTGAGTGGTCCTGGGGGCAGCCCCCAGCCCCTTCTGGCCTTCCCTAACCCCCTCTAACGAAGCTGCTAAGGACTTCAGCTCATTAACCACAGGCTCGGGGAGGGGGCACGGTACAAGCCCACTCCCCACTGCCTGGGGCTCTCCCCACGGCCCCTTGGCTGGAGCCCCCTGCCCTGGGGCAACCGTCCCGCTCCTTGCTGCTGGCTGCAGCCAGTGGTGTCACTGGGAGCGGTGGGAACCTGTCCCCAGCCCTGTCCCTTAGCTAAAGATTAACCCAGCCTGCTCCTGGGAAAAGGCACAGAGCTGAGCCCTGCTGCGTCCCGAGGCTGCCTGGAACCGAGCTGAATACATGCAGATTGCTTTGAAGAGCCCCTTTTTGCAGACACCCTCCCTTTTTGCAGACACCCTCCCTTTTTGCAGACACCCTCCCTTTTTGCAGACACCCTCCCTTTTTGCAGACACCCTCCCTTTTTGCAGACACCCCTCCCTTTTGCAGCCCCCCCTCTGCAGTCCTCCCCTTTGCAGCTGCCCTTGCAGGGAAGGGCCTCTGCCTCCTGCCCCAGCCGCTCCCCCAAATCTCTCTGCCCTTCCCAAACCACCCTTGCTTGGTCGGCACGGGGACGTTCCCAGCTGCACTCGCTCCTCTCTCCGTAGCCGGCTCCTGGGTGGGCGATGCCACGAGGCAGCCCCAGCACAGCACCCCGAGGAGGACACGCTGCCCCACTTGCCAGGCACCCATGGGTGCCCCTGCGCCCAGTGGCAGGGATGGAGCCACACACGGTGGGTGATGGGGTTGGCACTCACAGCTTGTCCCCACATGGGGGCTGGGGTGGGGGGGACAGGGAACAACTCTCAGACCCCTGGCACAGCGCTGGCATGCTGCTGGGGGACAGAGGTGACAGCCAGCGGTGCCACCACCCACTCCA